GATTTAACCTGAGAGATACAGTACAAGCACTGATCTATAATAGATTAGTGATTACAAGCCGTGCAGAGCAATTAAAAGTGGTAACACACAATTAAAGACATATTTTGCAAACTGCACAAAACAAAGCAACAATTTTAATTACACTAACATGTTATGATCCGGAGGAAGAAGAAACTGGTCCATATGAGCTGTAACAGTTACTAATAAAGTCCCTTTCAAAGTCTTACAAAGTCCCATAAATGCGAGTTTCTGCAGCTCCTTCCTTTAATAGCAAACGGCCGACAAATTCCACGTTGCAGCGTAAGTTATGTTGCATCAATCGTCAGAAAAATGACAGGAACAAACACAGCACACGGTTAGCTATGCTGTGGTGTTGTTGTGAAAATGAACTTTAACCCTTTATTCCTTCCGGCCAAATCTCCATCTGTCAGTGATCGTCAGCTTCGAGTTATGATCAGTTCTGTGATCTCACGTGCTCTGCTCGTGTCTGAAGGGAAAGGCGCATTTACATTTATCGTATCCAGCACTTTATATTTGGTGATGTACCGTATTGACCCTGATGTGTACAAGCAACCCATCTTGATTCGTTTATTTGACTCTGAGTCTACTATTTTGTTAAATAATCAATAGTTATTAACATATAATGATAATAGTTTTAAATACAGTGCATTTTCAGATTTAAACCTCAACTGGATGTTTTCATTCATTAGAGCTGTGTTACACACTGCATGAAAAACCCACAAAAGGGGCTCTTTAAGTTAATCAGGATGACTAATGGTTCCACTAATAGACCAAGGTACATTTAATACTAAAAACAGGTTTTTGAAGTATGCAAATACAAGTTTTACCAAAGAAGTACAAACACAACATCACAATGAGAAAATGGCGGTCAGTGTTGGCACATACACCTGATTTCTCTACCCAAACTGTTCAAAACCCTCCCAAACAAACAAAAAGCCTACAAACTAAAAATAATAAGGTACACACGCTTAGGGCCCTATCATACACCCGGCGCAATGTGGCGCAAGACGCAACTCAATTGCTATTTGCTACTTTCACCTCGGCGCAAGTGTCATTTTGAGGTGTTGCGCCACGCTGTTTAAATAGCAAATGCATTTGCGCTCAAATGTGCGCCCATAGGCGTTCTGGTCTAAAAAAAAGCAGGCGTGTTTTGGCGCGTTGCTATTTTGAGAAACTGTAAATAGTCTGATCTTTAGACCAGAACAAAGTCGGTCTATTGTCTGGTTCAAAGTGCGCCTGGCTTACACACAAGATGCAGAGCAATACGCAAATATCTTTACATATGAAAATGGTATAATATATTAAGGAAATATATAATAAGTATATATATATATATAGGATATAAATATAAAGGATTAAATATTTGTAAGTATTAAGTATTTGGAAATAACTCAGTATTTTGACCACACTTCCTTAATATTGTTCATTTATTCGTTTGCTGGAAATTAGAACTGAATTTAGAAAGATTTTTGAAACAAATCTTTGCAGTTACAAACGAAATTAACTATTTATAGGGTAATTGATGTCTGTGCGTAAAGGTTTCCCTATCCACGAGAGCAAAAGCGAAAGTGAACTTACTTTACGTCCTGTAAATAGCAAATGCGCTTATGACGCGACGCAGGTGGCTCTTAAAGGGAATGGGAGATGAGACTCTAATTGGTTTATTCTCAAAACACATCTATAACTCATTAAGAAAGTTAACTCAACCCTTTTAGACCATGCACCATGGCGCAAAGTGGATATTCCCGTACTTAAATTTGCAAATATGGATTCTGACATGCCCTGAAAGCGTTTGCGCCCTGCGCTTTGCGTTTTGCGCATGGACCGTCAAAATAGAGCCCTTAGTTTTTATTAAATATTAACCTAAAATGCACGTTCAAAACTGATCCCAATCCCACCCAAATTTTGCCAACCTGGTTAAGCCTTTTTTTTTAACCAGCATTATTAAATTCTAGACCTGCAGAAAGATGTTCATCATCTGACTGATTTATGTATTTATTCTAAACATTCATTTAGTCACTATAATGAGCTTTCAACTGTAAAAAAAGGATAAAACTTTAAGCAGTTGATACAATTTTGTAGTTTTGCATAAATGTTTGTAGAGACACTATTTAACCAAAGTATCGATAAACCCCTGACACTCATAGATTGAAGAAAATCCCACCTACATTTTTAAACTTTTATCGGTCTCTTCAGGTTATCTTCTAATAACCTTTCCCCCCAGCTCTAGTCTAGTTTTGGCCGCATGCCTTGTGCTGTTTATCTCAGAAAAGAGGTTATCAGAGAACCGTAAGCCATGTAACAGAAATAAGAGGCAACAGAGGAAAATGCAAAGCTTTTAATAAAAAAAAAAAAAAGAAGGAGAAAAGCGTCTGAATGCTAGATAAAAGCAGTCATTGCTGCCCTGGGGCTCATGTGGGCTCAGAAAGGTACAGCGAGTCTGCAGTAAAAACTTCAGCATCTACAACTTAAGAAAGACAAAAGCATTGACATAGATGTTGGGCCGGGTGCTGTATTTGGCACGATTACTTAGCATCTACACTGTGTTTTATTATAGCTTGCTTCTGGCACAGTTTAATAAAAAAATAAAATGGTACCTTTGGAAATATTTATCTCATAATTTTGACTATTTTTCGCTGCAATTTTGCGGTACGGTAGCTCAGTGGCTCATATGTATGTATGTATATATATATAGTCCTATACAGGCATGACATTCACTACAAACACAATAGACAATAATAACTAAAACATTAAGAAATGGTTTACTAAGGCATAAAATAATAAATAAAATAAACCATAATGACAGTCCGCAGTCATCCAGTAATAAATGCCAGACTACAAATATAATTTTTTTAAGCTAGACTAGCTTATAGATAAGACAAAAGAAAGATAACGGATAAAGACCGTCAGAAAAAAATTATAATATAATTATAAAATACTGAATTGGGGAAAATACAAACAGAAAGCAGAATTAAAAAAGCAAAGATAAAGAATATGCAATGAGCACATATCTGCAAAATGTTTGGAAGATGTATTTAAAGCGGCTGTAATAATAAGTAGAATAACTACAACAATAATAGTAATTAGAATAATAAAAACATTAACAATAATATACATGCCCAATGCCTGTCTCAGTGCCGTTTTAAAGTTCTAACCCTTTTTCTCTGATTTTCAGCTGAAAAAATGAAACAATCTGTGTTTATGTTTTGAATTGCAACTTGATTTCTTAATTCTGGGTTTATTCTTGTTCAGAAATGGATATAAAACTCTTAAGCTTCCATGATGTTTACTATATTTAGACTGTAACAAAAGAAATTAATGTGCTTGTAAATAATCTGATTTCGGTTACACCATGGTGAATAGATTTGCATTATCAGTGGCCGGTATACTGCTGGAACATTATTACAAATGAAAGTGACAACTATACAAAGCAGGAAGTGTCCAAAGCAAATCTAGATGAACAAAAACCTATGTAATATGTATTTAATGTATATACACAACATAGATTTAGTAATTAGCAAGGAATCACTTGCTGTCAAAACAAAAAACAAAAAAAGAATCGAATGAATATTTCACAGGTGTGTTGGATATTTGCATCTGGATAAAAGTGTCTGCTAAATGAATGAATGTTAATGTAAATACAAATGCTACAATTACATACATATGATTAGATTTTATCATTTGAGTGCTTTTTATAGTGTTGGGTCTCATTTTGCACACAGTGATGTCAGATATAGCATTCATTTATACTGAATAATCTTATTTTTATTAATTAACATAAATGCATGACAAAAACTGGTCTGACTTAAGTGGCCTTATCTACATTTGAATTGATCATTTGATACAGTATACTTATTGTGTGAATATTTGTTTTTAGATTGTGTGTATAAAATATATATATATATGTAGTTCCACATACAAAAGGGTTTTTGAGACTCTCCATGTTTGATTTTGCTTCAAACTGTTGTATAAACGCAATACCACACTCGTAGCAGTGCGATATGCCTGTATTTCGGCACTGGTTGGTGCACTGGTTGCAGCGCAACGCACGCCTCCCACCAGTGCCTAAATCGCACTGATATTGCTCATATATATATATATATATATATATATATATATATATATATATATATATATATATATATATATATATATATATATATATACATATATATCTCCACTGTAAGAAAACTGTTGACTCAACTTTAAAATTTTAAGGCAACAAACTTTAGGACATAAGATCTATGATCGTCAAGTGCAGTACTTGGTTCGAAAGTTGAGCCAACTCTAAAAAGCTTTGCAGCAAGTTGCCTTACAATTTTGAGTTGAGACAACTTTTTTTTTACCTTGCGCATGTATGTTCGTTTGTAATTAATTTCTGTAATTATTACATTAATTACTAAGAAAGTAATTACCCATATCCCAAATCAATACCACCAAACTTTAAAAAAAACTTGCTGATTTCAATTGTTGAGTTGAATTAAATGAACTTTTTCAAGTCATCTTAACTCACATGAACCAAATTGGCTTAAAAACTAGATTAAATAGATAAGTTAAAGTAAAATAAGTAACATAAAACATTGGTTGTCATGACTTTTTGTTATATCATCTTTTTTTCAGTGCACACTGAAACTTTTGGAATCAAATGAACTTTTCTAGTCATCTAAACTTACATCAGACTGACTAAAATTATTAAGTTAAACATTGTATAACTTAAAAAATCTAGATGAAACCTGATTAATCTATTAAAATAATTAAAAGTAACATAAAAGTGTTTGTTGTCTTGATTTTGTGTTATAATTTTACATTGCATAAATGTTGTGCAATATAATATGTACACAAAATAAACTGTATGACTATGAAAAGTATATATATATATATATATTAGAAAAACAAACAAATATGCTTATACATCTACCAACATCTACTGAAAGGCTGAAAAGTAAAAGGGGTTTCCTAATTGTGAAATATCCACTTACTGTCATTAGTTGAGCAACAGGAACTGAGCAGAAGTAAAAGGGAATCCCTTTAAGACCTGAACTTGCCTCTGTGAAGTGCTATAAACCGCTGCACCATTTGTTTTTCAAAATGTTGTTGCGGCTCTTGCATGCACAGATGATTACTGTTAGCCAGCGCTGGAAACATGCTCCACCCCATCAGCACAGTGTAATTACAGTCTTCCTGTATCCTCCCTTTCCTCTCTGCAGTATAATATTGTTAAAGAGAACAGATGATGGAAACTGTTCATGGAATAACTGCCCATTTTTATCATTTTCCCTTTTTTCAGTGCATTTTCTATAGTGAGATAAAGCAACAGAGGTTCATTGGAAATACATGCTTTAGTCTATTTTTTGTGAAACTGCACAATAAAAACATACTTAAACATACATATTCTTGAATCAGGAAATGTAGAGTTGGTTGCGCACCTCCTGAATGTAACTCTTGCATTGCATTGAAGATACCGAAAATACTGTTCATCAAATCATTCATTTGTGCCTAATAAATTAGAAATATTTTTGACATTAAAGAAAACCTCTGACCTTCTTTATTGGAATGGATTATATATTCCAACAAAACCATGGAAAACAGTTTAGGGAAGGGGTCGGGCGGGTCAGTCTATATCAAGCTGATATATTATGCATCACACTATATCATTAATGAACACGCATGAGAAGGATGTTGATATTTGCAGTAATGTATACAGCGGCCTCTAGTGGATTTACAGTAAATACCTTATAGGAGAAATGTGCTCCAGTGGCATATTTGAGATTGTCAAAAATATACACAGCGCCCTCTAGTGGATTTGTGAAAACATAAACGTCATCCAGGGTACATATTTGTCAATTCTCAAAAATTCTTTACAATTATTTCTCATATTTCCATTAAGCCACTAGACAAATTGGTAACAGTGGGAAAACCGTCCATACGAAGATAAGCACAAAAAGGAATGGCTTCATAATGCTACGTAGCATTTATTTCAAAGACGAAGTGCAGCCATACGTACTTCTGGCTACATAATTCGCAATCTACAGAAATGTATATAGGGCTACGTTTTCAGAATGAGCCTATGTTTCTGTGGGCCATGGAAACATATGTGTTTGGTTTAGTCGGTTGCGAGTTAAAAAAGGTTGGGAACCACAGCTCTAGATGATTTGCCTTCTGAAATGTGCAATTTAATGTACCTGAAGCAACATATTTCAGATTTTGCAAAAATAAAAGCTGAGGCAGGGCTAAGCAGTGGCGGAGTAGGTAGTGCTGTCGCTTCAAAGCAAGGAGGTCGCTGAGTCGCTGGTTCGAGCCTCGGCTCAGTTGGCGTTTCTGTGTGGAGTTTGCATCTTCTCCCTGCGTTTGTGTGGGTTTCCTTCGGGTGCTCCGGTTTCCCCCACAGTCCATAGACATGCGGTACAGGTGAATTGGGTAGGGTAAATTGTCTGTAGTGTATGAGTGTGTGTGTGAATGTGTGTGTGGATGTTTCCCAGAGATGGGTTGCGGCTGGAAGAGCATCCGCAGCGTAAAAACTTGCTGGATAAGTTAGCGGTTCATTCCGCTGTGGCAACCCCGGATTAATAAAGGGGCTAAGCCGACAAGAAAATTAATGAATAAATGAAAAGCTGAGGCACGTGTTTCCAATGCGCCTGATATGGAGAATAGTGAGAATAAGGAACCAGGGCATCCTCCTCTCTCTGTCTGTCCTCAGTGCAGTGAGAAAGCGAACACGAGGACTTGTGATGAAAGGTCTGACAGAAACACATCCGTCTGATCTGGCCTTGTGATCTGCTCTTTATCTGTGGGGTTTAGAACAGTTGTCTCTGAATGTTAGAGACCAAACCGGCATGGCAGGAGTAGCTGTGGGTGAATGTTGGAGAAAGACATTTGTACGCTCTCTGTTGCGAATCCACTTTCATCCAGTTGTCTAATCCTCATTTTTCACCTCCAGCTCTTTCTCTCTGCCTGGGTTAAAAATTATTCAGCTCCTTTGCAGGTGATAAAATTTTAAGGCTGCTTTTGAATAATTAAAGAGCAGAATCATAATCTTAGAGCATAGCAAGCTGTGGCTGGAGAGGATTGGTGCATTCTGGCCCTAAAGGCTCCGTCAGATTCACTTTAGATTCTCTGTCTGGGCCTTGAGCTGTAACCTGCTCTCACTGAAAAAAACTAAAGCAAAACAATGGACAATAGAAGCTAACATGTCGGAGTTTGAAATACTGTAATTCTGTGTAAACCGAACTAGGGGGTAGAATAAAAATATAACACTTTACAATAACAGTACATGAAGAATGATGTATTAATATATAAACTAAACATTACTTTATTGTAGACTTAATTACTTGTTACTACATGATTGTTTGTTAATCAGTGTATTATTTACAACATTAGTTAGGTTTAATTTAACCATCATGAACTCAAGGTATGTTAATGTATAATTATGTCATGACTTTACTTGGAGGGGCGCATCATCATTAATCCATTCTTACCTACTCATAGTTACCTTAGTCCCTTTATTAATCCAGGGTCCCCACAGCGGAATGAACCGCCAACTTATCCAGCAAGTTTTTACGCAGCGGATGCCCTTCCAGCTGCAACCCATCTCTGGGGAACATCCTCACACACATTCACACACACTCATACACTACAGACAATTTAGCCTTCCCCGACTGTGGGGGAAACCAGAGCACCCGGAGGAAACCCACGTGAAGGCAGGGAGAACATGCAAACTCCACACAGAAACGGCAACTGAGCCGAAGTTCGAACCAGCAACCCAGCGACCTTCTAGCTGTGAGGCGACAGGACTACCTACTGCCTCGCCCTCTCGCGAATCATGTTGTAGTTAAAATTGCTTCATGATTAGCGCATACCTTAACTCATCAATTCAAAATAAAGTGATGTTTAGTTATATTAATACATCATTATTTGTGTGTTTGTGTTATTGTAAAGTGTTAAAATAAGTACATGAATGGAAAAAAGGAAAATATGAAACTGACAATAGCATGTATATGACTAAAGACTTATTAAATGTATGTTAATGTCTTTAAAAGAAAAATAAATCTTTAGAAAAATAAATAAAAATCTTGGTTTATACATTATTATGTACATTGTACAAAAGATGTACGAAAAAAATTGTTTATATATTTATACAACAGTTTTGTCTTGTTCTCGAATCTGATTGGCTGATAGTTGTGAAATATTAAAGTAATATCAGAGCTCGTACAGCCTCTTTACCCTTGTGTATTACTCCGCCCAGACGAGTGGCAACCAGAGTTCGACAAATATTTCACCTGCTGGACAACATAATGTACTTTTGAGCCTGTGTTAGGCGAGAATGTAGTTGTTTAGATTGCAACTATGCAGTTCATTTATAAGAATAGTGCCTATTTTTAATATTCATAATTTCGGAGATTCAGCGCATTGGTGGCCAGCCTGCATACTGAGCAGAGCAAAAACAGTTGATGTTCCGTCACAAGATGGTGACAAAGGCAGCTCAATAAATCCTTAGGGGAGAAAAGAAGCATTTTCTTAAGTGTATGTATCAAACCACAGCTAAACAAATCATTACAGAACAGGAAAGTGACATTCCAAGTCGATCTCTCTCTTTCGTATGTTGTAGTGCTGTATTTATACCATAGTAATCTGGTAGTGTTTGCTTTGCTCTGGCTTTTTCAGGGGTTAATTATTTTGAGAACAGAGAAATACTGTGAAATCTTTGATGGCATTTCATGCTGTTCAGCCTTATAATCTTAAAATGTGAGCAAAATTACTTGTTTTCTCATCATTTCCTGGCAAATCACAGCACAATATGTTAGCTGACCAATCAGAGCCTCTTGTTAGCTTACTAGCTGTATATAATCAAAGTAAGGCATATGAAAAAGTAATGCGATTTTGCATTTTATAAACCCAACCAAGCCTTAAAATACACTCTGGACCACCCCTGTAAGGTGAATAATAAGCCTGTGCAAGTTCATCCACTGAAAAAAAAAACATTTGTTTTGGTAATCTTCAATCAAAGTCTAACCATTTGCTTCCAAATTTGGAGTGGCGGCCTTGCTTTCGACTTCAACCAAAGAGCTTCCAAAGCACCTGCTTATTAATACCCTCTTTACAGTTAGGTTGCTATGAGGGAATGATGTACAAAAGAGAGCCCCGCCCCCTACTACATATTCTGTTTCAGTACATTTACATACTGAAATAAAAGTCTCAACAACTGTTGGTTCGTTAAGATAAAGGTTTTTTGAATGCTGCTTCTCTGTCTGTATACGTCCATCTATATATCTAGATATAGATATGTGTATATGTGTGTGTGAAAGTTCCTCAATAACTGTTAGAATAACTAAAAATAGGACCAGGCCGTTACCTTGAAATTGTAGGTTGTCTTCGGATCTCCTCTGTAGGCAGAGGCACATTTTTATTAAATGAGTGTGGATGCTGGTCCTTTGATCTGGACTACAGATGCCAAGAAGGAGCACAGCTTTGCATCATTTAGCTTAAGGCGGGTTCAGTAGATGTCCTGTACACACACATTAATACCTTAAACATGATGTGGCCAGTACAGTACACTGACACAGCCAGTGAAGCGAGACTAAGAGAGCTGTTGCTCTCATCTCAGTTGAAGACCAGGCACTGTGCCACATTCTGGATCATCTTCAGAGGTTTAATCATGCATGCGAGGCAGCCAGTGAAACACTGCAGCGCTCGGTCAGATGACAAGGAGCTGCGAGGCATATATAGAAAGAGAAAAGGTCTTTTGAGGATAGTTCACCACAAAATCAAAGTTCTGTCATCATTTACATATCATCAACATCTTTAAAAATTGTTTGGTTTGCAGGCATTGATTTCCAGCTTGATAGATTAACTTTTTATATTTCATGTTGTATTCTCATCTCGTTAAAAAGCTCTTCTTGGACATAGCAAATGAAAATAAAGAAATATAAGACTCGCTCAAAAACATGTTTATTAATTGGAAAAAGGTGTTTACTTTTTACATCTTAAAATGCTAATATTATTAAAACCCGAGACATGCCAAGTCAACGCCAAAGAACTAGCGGTGATGAAAACCGTGTGTTGTCGCCTCACGTCAGATGCGTCTTGTCCTGTTTTGACCAAAGAGCTATGTGTGAGCACACCAAAAGGACAACGTTTGACTAAGGGTCTGTCCATGCGACTTTTTTTCTCTGTGGTTTTGCAGTTTGGCTACACGAAAATGCAGTATCGGGTGTCTGAAACTGAAGTTTTTCTTAAA